ATTTTTATATATAATGGCTGCCCCACCTTTAGATCTTTGTCCTTTTGCCATACAAATGGGTTCGTAAAAGGTCAAGGGACGGGGACCACTGTCCTTTATCAATTCACTTTTTGCAACGGAGAGCACTTGCAGTATTTGGAACCAGGAGGATTTGGCGTGTCCCAAGGCATTGAGCAAATTGCCTGTTGTTTTGAGCTTTTTAAGTTCAAATAAATCCATGATTATATATAGGCCACACTCCTTCCAACATTTGAATTGAGCTAATTTATCCACTTCATAAAAATGGGGCTGTAATAGGAATGGGCAAATAGGGGAATGACCGGAGACAGTATGTGAACCCACTGCTTCCAATTAAGGAGGGAGTTGTAGAGAAACAGGTTTTGAATCTCCAACACCCTCCATGTCCTTATAGAGAAACGAAGATTAAGTTCAGCTAAACTAACTGGTTTAATTATTATTCTAAGGAAGAACTTGTATATTTTTATTACACTTTTCCCTTTCTTTTTAAGTCTCTTTTTTATGCCTCTTCCAAGTACTGTGTCATTTTCTCTTTCTCGCTGCCTCCTTTGAAGCTGAAGCCCTCACTGTGCAGCTGCACAACTCACTCCATAATAGCCCTTCCTGCCTTTCAGGTACCTACTCTCTCTTTAAAAATATAAAAACACCTAAAAGCACCAGATCCAGTCTAACTTTGAAAGCTAAGCAGGGTCAGCCCAGGTTGGTACTTGGATGGGAGACTGCCAGCAAATACCAGATGCTGAAGAAAGAACTGGCAAAATCACCACTGAGTATTCCTTTCCTAAGAAAACCCTATGAAATTTGTGAGGTCACCATGGGGACCTGAAGGTGTGTGCGTACACACACACACTCACAAATCACACATCACACTGAATGATTTAGTAGCTTCTTGTTATATTTTACTCAGTAACACTCCCTTTTAACGAAAGCTCTGATTTCATTTCATTGGGAGGGGCAGGGTACTTTGCATGGGCACTTCATTAATGGTCAAAGTGTTCCCTATGTTTGGCCCCTTATTTTTCATTTAATTTTTTTTCCTCACCTTAGAATTCTGCAGGAGCCGTGTGGACTGTAAGAAATGCTTTTTAAAAACCCAGCTGGAACTCTTGTTTTGTTTTTGAATTTGTTTTTTAAAAAAACTGTTAAAACAGATTGTGGGATGGGGGAAGGTGACTGCAGTTTATTTAAAAAGTGAATTAATGCCCTTGGAGTCTACTTGGACAGGAGGTTCTCTTTGGAAAAGGGATGTCTGTGGAGTCAGGATGGATCAAGGGTCCCCAAAAAAGTCCTAGGGGCTACATACCTTCCCTCCTCTAGAATCATATTCCAGTTAAGGGTTCCCTATTGATTTATCTTGCAGAAGGACTCACTCCCTGAATACAGAGGGGCAGCATCTGGACATAAACACAGCGTTGGATCATGTGCAACCATAGTAGCTTGAGGGAAATCCCCATATATATGTACTATCTTGGTTCTTGGTTAAAATACAGGATGCAAATTTTTATAGATTTTTTCCTTACAGACATCCTGGCAAATATATCCTGTTTAGCTCCTCCAGAGCTTGGCTGGGGATTCTGGGACATGCAATCCAAAAAAGTCATATTTCTCCCACACACTCTGTTTTCCCCCAGACCTACCATGGTGGTCATGTCCCGACAGGATTATACCAGGCCCTGCCTGTGACCTTGACCCAAGAGCAATTTTATATTAAA